CTACTGCTATACGATCATTATTATTATTACTAGTTTTACTGCTGCCATTACTACTACTACTACTACTACTACTATTACTACTACTACTACTACTATTACTACTACTACTACTACTACTACTACTACTACGAGTACTATTATACCACCCGTACTGCTACTAGGACTACTGTATACAAAAAAAAATAGCACCACACTGCAACGAGAGTCCTGCCGGCGCCATAGTCTTGCGGTCAAATATCGCTACTACAGACATTCGAACTCTAGCTATGGCTCGGGGTCATAAGGTTCAAATTAATTATAGGCTTTTCGGGGTCGGTAGCTGCATGACCCATCCAGGGCCTCCAGGGATAACGACAAGGGGCCCCCCAGTGTTGGTGAACTCCATTCCACGATGGCTCACGATCGGCTGGAAACTCAAGCACATAATCGGGCGCTTCAGCTTGCCTCGCCCTTCATCACCATGGAGCCCATACGGGATACACATGCTGAGATCGATATCTGAATCAGAAAACAGTTCCAGATGGGGTCGGACTTTCCGATATCTTTTCCAGAAGGACGAGAACGTGTGTCTCCAATTCTTTTCGTCGGCTAGTCTGTTACCTGCCAATAATGCTTTCTCGTATCCCTTGGAGTTCAACAAATAGCCAGCCCATTCTGACAGATGTATCACGGGATACGGCACAACAGCAACACGAGGCTTTCCGGAAAGGACTCTCACCGGCGTCTCCACAGAGTCGATCTTGATTGGTATTGTGTACCCCTGTTTGTGTACCAGCTTATGCAAGTTTCGGCATTGGTTCTTCTTGTTCTGCCCACAACCCGCCAGTAATGAAAGCACAGGGTCCAAGAGTCCTGAGATGCATCTCTGAATGCCCGTGATGCTATGTAAAGCCACAAACCATATTACCCTCTACGATATATATATATATACACACACATAGATATAGATATATTACACATATATGTAGCACTACACTATACACAATATCATTACTGTAGTAACCCCTATAGTCCGACCCCTGAACTTAAACGACTCCTGCACACAGCTAGTATTTATAGTCCTACTAACCTAGCTCCTGACACCGACTTGGAAAACCAGGTGACTAGAGCAGCGGTCCTACCAATTAATGATCGACAAATCGAGACTGTAAGCGCTCAGGCTCCATGCTTCTTCAGCTTGTTGTTTGCAACACTCGCCAGGCGAGTCACTCGTCTAGCGCTCTCTGCCTTAGATCGGTACAGATATGTAGTACATCTAGGGTTATGACCCAGTAGAGGAACATGATACTTGCAACCCAGCCACTCCCTGCTCGAAGCCCGTAAACAGCTCGTCGGCCAGGTCATCGTCGAACTCGGAGCCGGATGGCCCATCTGCACAAGGACAAGCTGGGTTGGTTTCGACTAGGTAAGAACGGCCAGGTTTGGGCTTCGAGGTTTAAGCATGTTTTTGGGTATTAAGCGACAGTGTTTCCAAAGGTTTGTCGGGCTGCAGAATTCCCAGGATTCTCGGGCCCCCATGCACATTTAACTAGCTGAAATTGTTCGAGAGAGCTAACATCGATCATTAGGGACTAGATCTTATATGAGTTGGAGGCTTGCTACACATGTTCGACAACGGTCCTGCTGCAAACCTGAACAAATCCCATGTCTGGCCTTCCTCCTGGTCTTCTTGCTCAAGAAGACCTGCGCTCAAAGCCAGTAGCATATAAGCTGGAACAGTTAAGTGAAACCAGCTTGCAGCTCATCATTTGGACGTGCACTTCGGCAGGTGCTCTCCTGTAGCCCCAAAAGCTGCTTGCATAGAAGCTGCATGTGCACATCTCCCCGGCACAAGTGGGCTTCGGAAGCCCATGCATATAGATCTAAAGATCCGGAACACGTGGCTGCACACCAACGATGAGCCCGGAGCCCGCGCCAACCCCCTAAAGCCTTAAAGCTCTAAATAGAATTGAAACCACTGCAAACTGGTTCCGAGTCATCGTTGCACGGCAAACCCTAAACGTTGCTGAGATATGGTCAGCACTCCTCAGGAGTCTACCAGATCACTTGGCCTTTTTGGCCTTATTCTTCTCAGATTTGTCCTTCTTGATTTTCTTGTCCTTGGGCTTGCCCTTGGCAGCACCGGCCACGGAAGGAGCCTTGGACGACGAGCCGCCCTTCTTGGTCATGGACCTTGGTGGGCCACTACCGGGCCTTGGAGTGCAAATCCGGCCCCATAAGTTTCAAGCTGCCGGGAGATGGACCATTGGCTTATTCGCACCCCAAACCATATAATTAATATAATCCCTAAACCCTAAACCCTAAGCCCTAAGCCCTAAACCCTAAACCCAAACCATAATTATTTAAATAATTTGGAACACCCCATTCAATTTAATGATATTAGAGTGGATAAGCCAAGGGTTCAGGGTCCTAGAAATGCTTTGTATTTTGGGGTTGACCTATATTCCATATAAGATAACAAAAACCTACATATACATATATGCAATTCATAAACATAAAGATATAGCTGGTATACCTGTACAGTACATGATACCCTATGGGGGGTTCAAGGCTTAGGGTTCAGATCTTATAAGGGCCTAATGATTTGAGATAGAGATTTTGGATAGTTTGGGGCCATGGACCTGGAACAGACCCGTCCTTGTTTTGGGGCCAGGGTTGCTAGGGCTTAGGGTTCATGTACATTATAAAATAATAGGGTTCGGGGCAGGTTTCTGCATTATGCATCGACCCAATTGAATTAATTCGATCTGCGGAGGTTGATGGGGTTCCAGATTGTGGGGCTAGGGTCCTTCGGCCTTGAGGCTTGCATTGATTTTCGAGCAGAACGAGACTTACTTATAAGGCAACTAGTAAGACCCGGCACCGAGCCCTGATCACGTAGTTGCCAAGCACCACGTCCTGCTTGGTGATTTCGGCGTACTTTCGCAACAGATCGTCGTTGAAGGCCCTGAGGGCCAGAATCATATCTCCAGAAGAGAGAGAAAGAGAAAGAGAGAGAGCGAGAGAGAGTGAGAGTGACTGAGAGAAAGAGAGATGTATGATAGCTAGCTATTAGGCAAGACACTTGTCGGGAGTCGTCGTGACAGACTCTGCCTGTTTGGCAGTCAGGTCGTCGTACTTTGACTTCATGTCTTTCATGATGACAATCATCTGGTCACGAAGCCTCGGAAAGATTGCGAGCTGTGGGTTCGCAAACGATGAGACTACATGAATCCAGAAGAGCAACGAAGCAGCTCTGCTGTTCTGGACTTCCTCCAGCTTGTCCTGATTCGATCATGAATAGCTACATTGCAGCTTTGGGTTAACATTACAGGGTGAAGGATGCTATACAAAGCACCCTTATATCAACTGCACATCCAAGGGTCCATTATGTCCTCACAGGCATCGATCTTTCGCCCCAGCACCTCCAGGAAACTTGCCAACAACGAAGTAGCCGAAGCGTTCTGCGCGAGGGTCGGAAACACCAGCCTGGGCTGACACTCGTATATTCTACAAGTACCACAGACTACAACCAATTAGCTAGGATACTTAAAGGATGCAGCCTGCCCTGCTGTGGGAGCTTCCTCCGGGGCGGCATCTGAGGTTCCGCGGGCGATCTCGGCCAGGGACGACTCGATGCTGGGTGCATCCTGCTGGAGGAGGAAGCCGGACTCGTCCTGTTCGCTAAGCAGAATCGGGTTTCTGAGAGGTTGGGGGCGAGTGATCATATGCTACAATTGGTCTGTTGGCGCTTGGGTTTAGAGATTTGTGGCATAGCTGGTTCTACCATGGGGCGGGTCCTCAGCTTCGAAGCTGCCAGAAAGATTGATTTCGGTGCCAGTCTGGTCTTGGAGTTCGAAAGTTTCGGAGATAATCAACTTAGCTTCCTCTTCCTGGTGGATGGGGTTTTTCCTCACCAGACCGTTGGCCGTAGCCCAGGCGAAACCAGCAGTGATCATCTGCCTGATTATTATGTCATCACTAGAGGAACACTAATAGGAGAGTCCAATTGCATATGTCTACACCCAACACTGCTAAAGCAAGTAAGCTCTGAGCTTCGTCCAGTGGCACTGACTTGCCAGGAAGTGCCTTGTGCACCACTGCCCGGACTTGTTTTGCCCGAACATAGAGCGATGAATCTTCTTCACAGCCACTTCCATTGCCGAAAAATCACCGTTCTGGCGAAGGAGGTCATGTAGGCGCTCTCCTCGGAATGTGACACCCCGATACTATTATACTGCTTTAAATGTCATCGTTGGCCGAGAGAAGACACAGGATGATAGCAAGTTGCTGCCCTTGGAAGATTTGTAGAGCTCGAGTGCTTCCTTCGAGCATTTCAACTTCCCACAGGCTTTGGGAGTAAAGTATCGCCGCAGCCTCAAACAACACCAAAAACGGTTTGGGCATCATGGTACATGCAAGCACTAAGCTCACACAGCTATTCAGGGGAGGTGCCGCCAGTAGGTTGGGCTGGCCGAACGGGGCCTGCCCTTGCCTGGGGACCCTGGCTCGCTTGCTCCACTCCGCGAGCTGCCTGAAACCTGCATATGGATGAGTATCGACGATTGAAGCAGCACTCTAAAGCTTGTGTCCAACGACTGAATTTAGTTTAGGCACCGGCACAGACTTAGCCGGGCTCTTGTGCTTCACCGCCAAGTCTTTCCAGCCCTTGTCGGATTTGCGCACAGGAGACCGGCCACGCTCATCCGGCTTCCGGGGCGAGGCATGCAGCTTGGCCAAGCAGCCAGGGGATCGCACGGTATTGATCGTGGGCCCCTTCGGCTTCTCATCATCCTCATCCAGATGCTCACCAAGCACCATGGTCTCATCACTCGAAAGCCTTCGGCACTTCCCGGGGCGAGCATCATCACCCACATCAAGAGCATGCTTACCAGCAATCGTCGTGCCGGTCTTGCTTGTCAGGGCAGGAGCTGGTGCTCCTAGCAAGTGTGTGGGATACAGATATATCATGCTTGCATAGTTCGCAGCCCATGTAGAATACCTTGATCACATGTGAAGCGGTGTACCTATAATATCATACATGTATGTACACATATTTCTATATAATCTTTAAAGATAAACACATCTAGTACATGCATGCATATATATATATATACACATGAAAACATGCATATGCATGTACATATATAATATAGGTTTCAGTCAGACATTGCATGTACACATCGTAGCAGAGTGCATGTATCTATGATATATACCATATACGATAATGCATGTACATGTTCACAGCAACACCGAACCCACTGGTCATCGTCTTCATTTGGCATGTGCATGGCATGGCATGGTGTGGTCTGGTGCTGTGTGGAGCAAGGTGTTGCTCTGCACCGGGCTTTAGAGCTGGCGTCATTGTATGTATTTTGTATGTATGTATGTATGTATGTATGTATGTATGTATGTATGTATGTATGTGTATGTATGTATGTATGTATGTATGTATGTATGTATGTATGTATGTATGTATGTGTAAGACTGGCAGCTATCTTAATAAGTGCATACGACAGAACCTACCTATGTGCCATGCAAGTACGTCTCGTACCGTGCTTGTCAACACCAAGAACTAGATTGCTCTTATAGTGTGGTCTCTTATTGTGTCGTTTTTCGGATTGCTCAAGAAGCCTGGGTTACAAGACTGAGGGTCCCTGTCTGTACACTGATTATATACTATACCCTGGGCCCCAAGACCTATGTGGTCCATTTCCTGGTACATGTACTATGCAGAGTATACAAATCCAATTTAAACCCCCGCAACTTTTAAAGCCCGTAGTGCCTCAAAACCGGCCTATATAAGCCAAGATTATGATAAGCTCTGCTTGCCAATAGTTCACACCTCCTTCGTGGACCGGGGCTGTGGGTGTTAGGAGCTGCACGGCTAATTAATGATTAGATCGATCTGCGATCGGAGATATTATATGGCTTTTTCAGGTTTAGGGTCTAGGGTCTGGGGGTTTTGAGGTTTAGATCCCTTGTTAGATCCCTCGTGTCAAGACCCTGAACCCCAACCCTAGCTACAGGGATGCAACAAGCCATCAACATATGTGCCTGGAGCGGGCGTCTCGATATCCATGCTTTTGCTCTTCTGCAAGGACGATTGGAGGCTGGCGATGCGGGCTTTAGCAGCCTGGGCTGGCATATGATGGGGTTGTGTCTAGGTTCTGGGAATTTGTGGCACCCTGTTGGAAGACGTGCTAGCTTCTATAATATATTTAAGACAAATGACCTGGATGCGGGCTTGCAGGTCCTGGCTTGCAACCTTTTGCTCCCCAGAAGCCAGCATCTGAACCATGGGGATCCCTGCTGAAAGTGTCTGGCAAGACCAGGAACGGCTTTCCATATTCAGCTAGCTGTCAGCTTGATTTGGGCACACACAACCGCTCACTGCAATGCACTCTGCTACAACTGCAGGATCTGTGAATTTTGACACTGCACACCTTGCATGCTATCAGTTAAGGAGTACAAGCTCTTTTCTTCACTGTGCAGATGCGATCACACCCCGGCAGCGGTTGGCTATGCAACCCCCGAATTAGGATTATATGGCTTTGAGGAGGAAAGAGCTCATAATTAGCTATAAGCGCACAAGGACGTCGAACACTTTTCAGATTTGCGCCCGTTTGGTGGGAATTTGCGCGCGTTTGGCGGGGATTTGCGCGCAATTGGCGGGGTGCCCCGGGCCCTACATTTGAGCAAAAACACTGGTAAACGCTCAAATTAGCAAATAAAAGCTCAAAGCCCTCTACAAACCCTCCCCAAAGCTATCAGGTTGGGCCAGAGCCAGCTCCTGTCGAAGCTGCTCAGAACCACAAGCCTGGGCAAAGGGGATTTGGGAGGGCTTCCCGTTATAGGCTTCTGGGCCAGGCTCTTCGGTTTCCCTTCTGGGCTGTCTTCTGGGCCGGGTTTCCGGGTGGGCTGGGCTACTGGGCCTGGCTTCTTGGCTGGGCTTTTCGGCTTCTGGGTTTCTGGACAGGGAGCTTGCAGTTTGCCGGGGTTTGCGGGTTTGGCGGGGTTTGCGGGTTAGGCGGGGTTACTAGTTTGGCGGGGTTTGTGGGCAGGGCTTCCTGGGTTTGTGGTTTTGGCAGGCACGGCTTCTGGGCTTGCAGCTTTGGCATGCTTCTGAACTAATTAGCACTAGTGCTTCTGGGCCTTGGCTGGCTGGCTTTAATTGGTATCGCCTTTAGCAGAATCCTGTAGCAGTTAGCAGGAAGCTGCCCTGTATCTATTTGGATCTACATATCGCTATCTATCAAACATTAATATAAACCCTAAACCCTGGACCCTGAACCCTAAACCCTGAACCCGGCCTAAACCCTCAACCACAAACCCACCCTGAACCCTAAACCCTGAACCCTAAACTCTGAACCCTAAACCCTAAACCCTGAACCCCTAAACCCTAGACCCGGGCCTATATATATATATATATATATATATGATCCTTAAATATATATATATATATATAAACACATAAGTATGTATATGTCATATATAATATATACATACATATGTATATATATATATATGTGTGATGTGGTCTATAGTCATAACATATAATGGAAATAAGTGTGTATATATATATATATATATTTACAAAGTGTTTATAATTGAGTTAACTATACAAAACTTCAATAATGGTAATTCGATCTATATATACAACACATATATAACGACTATAGAAATACATATATGTTCGAAGGATATTATATAGTCGTTAATATTTACAAAGATAGACACATTAGACTCCAAAGCCCGCTTGGCCTTAAACCCGTGGCTTACAGAAACCCAAGCACGACTCTACAACCTGCAATAGAGCTACTTTACTCGAGGCCCCATGAATCTAGATACCCAAATTGATCTAAATCCTGCCAATGTTGATTCAAGGACACATTGCTGCGAAGTTCCTTCTCGAAGCTGGCCATCGCTGCTTGCCAGCTATCCGGAATCCTGGGCAGGCACAAACTAGCGCTCCTATAATTTACAAAACCATTTATTTGAAATTAGTTTAGCTAGGATCTTATATAGGATTAAAACTTTAACGGTTTCCTCTGGGCTTTGTTACAGGTACGTGTGCAATGTGCCTAGCTACATATGGGTACAAGGATGGAAACGGTGCAAGGAAATCTTTGTAGCATCGGATCTCTTATAGAACACATATTCGTCTTATATCTGTACGAGCATAGGCAAAAGAAGCAGGCATCCAGAGCGACCGATGTTTTGAAATGAGAACGGATAACACGCAGAGTCGGTTGCATGGTATATTGTCAGCACGAACTACCCGAATATTCACAGCAGGCACATTTCTTTGCATAGATAGCAGTATATCTGCCATCTACCAGAAATACGTAGGGGGTTTAGGGATTAGGGTTTAAAGAGTTCAGGGTCTATCTGTACCTCACATATAATGGATAAGTTGCTGATTGGGAGGCTGAGACTTGTCAGCTTCATGTATACCCTGCAATATAAGTGCTCGAGACTTCAGAATGTCATATTGTTGTACCTTTCAGGACACTAACTGAAAACGTATAATTAGCAGGGTTGACTAGCAATAGCAGTTCTGTTTGCAGGCAGAGGCGGGTGAGTACTAGGTAAAGGCCTATTGCAACATAGACTCCGCAAGTGTGAGCATCCGTACAGGTAGAAGAACACTTCATGAAGGTTTGATTCCAGCCACATGTCCCCCAGCTGCATAGCTTCAAACAACTCACGGTCGGAGAGCTTTGTGTCCACTGTTCGTCGCACACGAACATCTGCACGGTCTGAAGGAGGCTGTTGGCGCCATGCTTCATAAGCCTTCATGAGGTTGCTGGCAAACTCGCGAGTGTATACCCTAAGCTGGCAGCGGCTTAGGGTTTAGGATGGGTTTAGGGTTTAGGGTTTAGGGTTATTCAATAAATACCCTAGAGGCATATAATTTCTGCACTGTGTGGACTGGATGCATCACTTGCTCTACATAAACCGAGGAACCCTGACATCTTCAATGCTTCATTGTTCCCGGAGAAAACCTTCTTGCCGTCCTTGGATATATGCCGACCTGATGCCGAAGGGCCGATGGTATTCTGAATGGCACTAGGTAATGTACTCTTTGGGATACCCGTGAGCTGTGCTGAACACAATCATGCATTAAACATCAGACAGAATGCGTACCGTCTTCGCGGTTGTCCTCTCTTCCCGCTCCTTCTTCGTGAGTTTTCCAATGTGCAGCATCGATATTGTAGACATAGGAGAGTAAACAATTGTAGGCTTGGCTGTCGGGGAACCATGTAGCATCATCCAGAACGATTGTTGGAATACCTAGGTAGCATCGACCAGGGTCAGTGGTACTTGTGGAAAGCAACAACACATCAATTGGTCAGATAAGTAGCCCTGCAAACTTGGTTGATGAACCAGTCAAACCTGTGATGGCGGTACATCAGCGAACACCCCGGCTGCTCCACAACAAAGGTTGCATGCTGGGCCAGGATGAGGAGAAGGAGGAGGACCATCCTTGGGGACAAGGCAGACTGGTGGGGACATATATATATATATATTTAATAAAAACACAGTCGTATGCAGATGGGATACCGAGAAATCAGGCAGTTGTTCTTTGATACCCAGGTAGAGCTCATAGTCCCATAAGCATTCACATATGTGCGCCCGGACGAATAGCGTGCAGGCATGCCCCAAGACCCACAATCAGGCCCGATAACATTTATTGCGTCAGGCACTTCATTGAGGATTACCCAAGTGGCCAACCTCGGATATCATCGTATAATGGCAAGCTCACAATGTAAAGTGCACATCGAGGTTGTAATTAAGGCTAAGCATCGCAAATCCAGAAGTCCGCAAGAAATCCATCTCCTTGCCGAACAGCACGTCATAGGAAGCGATGTGGTATCCCTGCTCATGCCTTGGCTACACTTTAAACATGCACTGGATCAGCCAACCAAGCTAGTCTTGATTTTGGTTTAGATAAGATCCCACAAGCAGCTCGCATTAATCTTCACCTCGGGTGCCATACCTTCGAGATATTGCCCGCGCCACAGAAGAGGTCGAACAGCTGATATCGCGGCTTGTATGTCAGGTTGGTCATCCATTTCATAAGCAAGACCTTATGCTGCAGTTCCCACATGTATGTAGCGTGCCCTAGCCTAGAACATGCCATGCACATGTATATGTGATTCTCTAGAATGGCAATCATATGTTGGGCCTAGTTGCAGTGGCCACCATGACCTCAGTTTCCATTCGGAATGCAGGATTGGGGCTGCAATTGGGAATGTAGTGGCATTGCTGGCTTCCACCATGATCAGATGTACTGCAATATGTGGTTGCATTCCCAGGCGCTTTAGGAGCCCCCAGTTGGATGAGGTTCACCACAACGGAATTCTCCATGGTTCGACAATTGTAGTCGCAGCAAACTACGGATGCTGCATGCACACGATCGCAAAAACATGTGTTCAGGAAGCTATACAAATTCATCTGGTAACATGAAAAACAATCCAAGCGTAGCTCCTAAGAAGTCCTACAGGATCTATGAATCTAACATGAGCCTCTAACAACAGCCCACATAAAAACCGGAGACCTGGAGCCCATCACTTCAGCAGATATTAGTGGGAGCATCCAGCAGCATAAGTTGTAATGCACAAGGATGATCACACTCAGCTTTTGCATGGACATGTAGCAGTGCCAAGCTGGGTGGGTGAGGAAACCTTGCACGGCGGCACGAACCTGCCACCCTGGAACTCTGAAGCTGTCGGCGGCCATCCTGGCACGAGACATGGCCAGAGCAATTAATGATTGATATAGGGGGCCATAGGGGGTGCCAGGGCTGCTTGCAAGTACTCAGTCACATTGTTTTCACACAGGCGCCTCGGAACGAGAAAGTGAAATGGCACCATGACACATGTGGATGGCCCAGTGGCCCCCCCCCTTTCGATGTTATCACCGTACACACCATTTGCCAACTCACGGAAAGTTGGCTCCGACCCACTGCACTCAAAAGCAGCATGCACCGATGTTGCAAGTGCAGGACCCCTGAGAAGACTTCGCTGGCATAGCTTGTCACTGCGTCTCCTTGTATGCCTGAGTTGACATGCCTATGTACACATGCATATATTCCCAAGTACTGTCCACCTCCTACACATTTATATATATATATATATACACACACACACACACTGCATCTATCCGGCTGTTAAGCTAGCTTAAACACCACAGCAGCTTGAGGCAGGAGAGAGAGAGAGAGAGAGAGAGTCAGAGAGTCAGAGAGTCAGAGAG